AGAGTGACCTGACTCTCAGTGGTTGGCATCTTCTCTAGGGAATGCCTACCGAGAATGCTTGGAGAATGGAACATGGGCCTCCAGGATCAACTACTCACACTGTGAACCCATTTTGGATGACCAGGTGAGTGACCCTGTTTTCCCCCACCCGGGTCCTCATAGAGTGTTAGGACTCAGGCTGAGCACAAAGGACCTTATGGGCAACAGAACCAGTATTCATGTTACCCAGATCCTTTTTTCTGTGTCTCCTGTCCTGCCTGGAGTCCTCCTCCAAGAGAGCTTGGGCTGGTGGCATGAAACTTGGGAAGGGTACAGCCATGTAGCGGGTGCTCCCTACAGCTAGCAGGTTCTGTGAGCACATTCCTTCCTCTACCACTGAGCCTCACTCTCCCCACCTGGCATTTGCTTCTGCCGTTCCATGGAGAAGCACGTACAGCCTCATCAGGACCATCAGGGCAGGAAGCTGGGCCTGCCTGGGCCTTGCCACCCAGTACTGGTTCTTGCTCTGGAAATGGATTCAGTGCTGACAAATATCTGGCCTCCCTTGCCTTTGGGTGCAGTACCGAGATCCAACCCAGGGCCTCATATGTGCTAAGCAAATGCCCTCCCTCTCAGCTCCCCCTCCAACAAGCTGTGCTTCACTTCTGACCCAAAATGATATGTCCCAGTTCCATCCCCTCCCCTCATTCACCCAAGGAAGTCCTCAGTTGGTCTGGAGCTCTTCCTCAGATAAAGTCCCAGTGCAGAGGCTGGAACATTGGCCTCTTCTGAGAAGTGGTGCCACAGAATGTGAGCCCAGGCATTCCACAGGGAGGCCTCAGGGGAGCAGGAGGAGAGCCAGACAACCTGGATAGGAAGAACCCTCTGTTCTTCCTCTATGTTCTTACAGCCCCTCAGGTGCTGGTGCAAGGTAGACTGACTTGTATTCCATTTGAGTGTTATTCCTAAGTATTCTACAATGTGTATCTTCACTGCTCTGCTCAGGGACCAATCCAAACCTACCCCTCCGGGCCTCCCAGAGGTCACTGCCTCTAAGGTACGAGGGAAGATTGGTCCCATAGTATAGATGTCATAGCTAAGGGCCATCTCATCCTGAGTTGCTCTGCCAGCTGGGGTCTGAGGAGAGACTAAACCCAGATGTGGCACTGCAGAGGCTCAAAGTTTAAATCTGTATCTGTAGCTCCAGGGTATCTCAGAACAGACTGTGTCTGATGGGCAGTGGTGGCTCACGCCTTTAATCTCACGCCTTTAACACTCAGGAGACAGAGGCAGGTGGATCTCTGTGAGTCTGAGGCCAGCCTGGTCTACAAAAGAGTTCCAGGATAGCCAGAGCTGCTACACAGAGAAACCTTGTCTTGAAAAACAAAAACAGACAAACAAAAAGAGTAGATCATGACCATGTCCATGTCCAAATGTGCCCCTAAAAGTTCATGTTGGGAGGCCTGATTACAGTTTCTGTGAATGAGTGTGTGTGTGTGTGTGTGTGTGTGTGTGTGTGTGTGTGTGTGTGTGTGTGTGTTGCTGAGGATTGAACCCAGGATTGCACATGATAGATAAGCTCTCTACCAGTGATCCTCAGCTCCAGCCTTCTATTATTTTTCTTTCTTTCTTCCTTTTTTTTTTAGACATTAAGTTGTCCAGAGAGGTCCTCCTAACTCAGCCTCTCGAGTAGCTAGATTACAGGTCTGCACCTCCCAGGCTTTAGCCATTTATAGTAATAGAGCCACCAGGCCAACAGAGGAAAGATCTAGAAGCCAGGATTGGTGGGAATACTTAAAGCCTCTTTTGTCCCAAGGTTAGGACAGAAATGGCTGGAATAGCAGCCCTACTCCCACATAGCCATACTTCTGTCTTCCCATGCCTGTCTGTCTGTCCAGCAGAGGAATTATGACCTGCATTACCGAATCGCCCTCATTGTCAACTACCTGGGCCACTGTGTTTCCGTGGTGGCCCTGGTGGCCGCTTTCCTGCTCTTCCTGGTCCTGCGGTGAGTCCACCTCCACCCTGCTTTCTCCTCATCTTTGTCTCTCCCAGATTTTGTCTCCTCCACTCTGGGGCCCAGGGAAGAGTGGACAGAGATGGGTTAAGCCGGGTGCTGGAGCATGACCACCATCCTAGCCTAGCCTGAAGGGTGCAGAGCAGGCTGTGATCGCCAGGGGGATCTTGGGCTCTGATGCAGCCCCACTTCACCCCAGACCGTGTCTTTCCCAGTGGGTCCTTACCCCGCTGACCCCCCAGCCTCCGCCCCAGCCGACCCTGGCTGACCCTGACCTGGGTCTCCACAGGAGCATTCGCTGCCTGCGGAACGTGATCCACTGGAACCTCGTCACCACCTTCATCCTGAGGAACATCACGTGGTTCCTGCTGCAGCTCATCGACCACGAAGTGCACGAGGGGAACGAGGTCACTGCTGGGGGCCTCAGACTTGGGGCTGCCTGTCTCATTGCCTGACACTTGATAGTCGGTCTCGTGTAGTGACCCGCCCCGGGCCTGGCCTTGAGGGTTGCTCCCAGCTAAAACCACCACCATTCCCTGCCCTCACCCATCTTGTAAGTCCAGGTACCTTAGAGGAAAAGGAGCCGGCAGTAACTTCTACCAAGGGTTTTATTGCTTAATCTTAGCATAGGACTGGAGAGATTAATTCCCCTCCCACGGACATGGAAACTGAAGCTCGGAGAGGTGAGCTTCACCACCAGGTCACGATAGCAGCCCTGACCACAGCTCCCATTCCTGTGCCTTCCTTTCCTCTCACCACCAGGTAAGGTGGCTATATCGAGGCTTAGAGAAGAGCCCAGATTTGTAGAAACCTCAAAACTAGCAAGACTGTTCCCCCTAACCCCCATGAGACAACATGATCCCCTCCAATACCTCAGCGGCCATGACCCCACACTGCTCCTTATGGCTTCTTTCCCTCGCATTGTTTTCATTTTTTTGTTTGTTTATTTGTTTTGGTTCTTCGAGACAGGATTTCTTTGTATAGCCCTGGCTGTCCTGGAACTCACTCTGTAGACCAAGCTAGCCGAAAACTCAGAGAGATCCACCTGCCTCTGCCTCCCAAGTGCCAGGATTAAGGTGTGCTCCACCACCGCCCGGCATTTCATTCTTTTAAAGTGAAAGCTCAGTCTATCCCTAATTGGAACCCAGTCTGACTAGCTATGTAGATGAAGGGACCCGAACACTGAAAACAGGGCTGGTCAGACCCAGCTCTGGTTGCAGAAAGCCGACCAGCCTCCCTTTCTGGACTGAAAAAAAGAAATCACACATGGTGATGTAGGCCTGTAATCTCAGCTACTTGGGAAACTGAGAAAGAGTTTGATACGTTCGAAGCTTACCTGGGTCACATAGTGAGTTCACAGCCAGCCTGGGCAATTTAGTGAGACACTGTTACAAGTGTTTTCAGATGTCTTAAAAGGCTAAGACTAGCCGGGCGGTGGTGGCACACGCCTTTAATCCCAGCACTCGGGAGGCAGAGCCAGGTGGATCTCTGTGAGTTCGAGGCCAGCCTGGGCTACCAAGTGAGTTCCAGGAAAGGCGCAAAGCTACACAGAGAAACCCTGTCTCGAAAAACCAAAAAAAAAAAAAAAAAGGCTAAGACTGTAGCTCAGAGTGCTTGCCCAGCAGGTGGGGGAGCGTGGGTGCTGTCCCCTATAGCACAGAAGCAAAGAGAGACGGAGGAGGTAGGGGAGGAGAAGGAAGTGGGGGGGGGGGCTGGGAGAAACACTGCTGCCCAGAAGTGAGGGTGGGCGGCCGAGCTCCCCTACTGAGAGCTGGTGTTATTTGGAACCCTGTCTCTGAGCCCCGAAGCCGGAGGTGCTTCGTCTCCCTGTGGGACCTGCTCTCCCGCCCCCGCAGCCTCTCACCACCCCACCCCCACGCGCAGGTCTGGTGTCGCTGCATCACCACGATCTTCAACTACTTCGTGGTCACCAACTTCTTCTGGATGTTTGTGGAGGGCTGCTACCTGCACACGGCCATCGTCATGACGTACTCCACGGAGCACCTGCGCAAGTGGCTCTTCCTCTTCACTGGATGGTGTGAGGGTCCCCGGGTGGGCGGGAGGGCCTCCTGGGAAAGGGGCACTGCTGGTAAAACACCCCCCTTGGTCTTGAGGCTAAGGGCTGGAGCCCAGCCTGCCCCGCTACCCCCATGCAGCCCATGTTGTCGCCCTATGCCGTCTCGGCCAATGCCCCAGGACAGCTCTGCCCGCCACCCATGCGCCATCTCAGGATGCATCTGCTTCCTCCCTTCTGCCCGCCCCCCAAGCCCTCCAAAGGTCATTCCAGGAAGCCTTCCTCCTACCCAAGGTGGCCAGACCAAAGGTCCTTGTGTCTGACTTCAAAAGATAAAGGAGTTGGCTCCACTTGTCCACCACAGCATCCTCTCTGCTTGGAGAGGATGGCTGAGAGCTGGGGCAGGGGCCGAGACAGGCACCATAGTGTCGCAGATGGCCTGTGGTTGGAAGACCGAACACACAGTCCCAGCCCCCTTGTGACCTCCTGCCTTGATACAAGCAAGGGGGTCTTTCCGCATCTGTCCATCCTGTGCAGCACGTATCTCTCCTTTCAGGCATCCCCTGCCCCATTATCGTCGCCTGGGCGGTTGGCAAACTCTACTATGAGAACGAACAGTAAGTGGGACAGATGTTGGCGGGGGGAGGTGAGTTAAGATAGGTCAGCCTTGGCTCTGGCCCAGCCCTGAGTCGGGTAGAATCGCAACCCTTACCCGAGCAGACCACGCTTTTGTAAGTCCTCAGGCAGAAAGAATTAGGTCCATCCCCATGAGTCCTCACACACCAGGCTCACACAGTGTATCTGTGGAGTTCAATTCAGCCTTCCTTCCGACTGGGATACAGGACCACAGCCCAGATGATCGCAGCTCCCTATGGGGTCCCTGGGGTACTGGACCACACAGCCCAGATGACAGCAGCTCCCCATGAGATCCCTGGGGTACTGGACCACACAACCCAGATGACAGCAGCTCCCCATGGGATCACAGGGGCAAGAGGTGGCGAGTAGAATTTAGGATGTGGAACAAGCATAGGATCACCTTTGAGGACCTTAGCTTTGGGGAGTCTCACAAAGACGAAAGCTGCTCAGGAAGCAGAGGCCCTCGTAGCTTATAAGCTTTCTCTCAAAGGGGCTGTTCAAACAGAAAACAGAAATTTGGGGTGTTCTGAGATGGCTGTCTGAGACTGGCCTGCAGTAGGTGACCTCCGAACTTCCATACTTGCTGGTAGGGTCAGGAACTTACCCTGGCCTTTCTCCTGGGTCCCAAAGCATTCCCAGCAGTCAGTGAACAACGGGGTGGCATGGGACAGCTAGGCCCTAGACCAGTGAAGGGGAGCCCAGCTCTTCCGAGGTTCCTATAACTGCTGAATTCCAAGTCCTGGGACCCCAGAACCTGCAACAGAGTAGCGGACAGTGTGGGGGCCCCAGGCAAGCCCTGAGGCTGGCCACAGGAGGCCAGCCCCACCAGATACAACCAAGGACAGGGCAGGACCTTGCAAGGGCAGTGCATGGAACTATCTACCACGAACTGCCCTGGAGGCTGGGCTCAGGAAGGGTCGCATCACCCCAGAGGGTCCTAGTTCTGAGTTGAGAATGGCCCACCGGGCACAGGCCAGGAGGCCGCCTCAGCTGCCCTGTCTTTGCAGGTGCTGGTTTGGGAAGGAACCTGGTGACTTGGTGGACTACATCTACCAGGGCCCCATCATCCTCGTGCTCTTGGTACGTCCTCTGGGGGTTAAGGGGCTGGGGCACTAGGAGGCACAGCAGGAGACCCACCCGGGCAGAGACACTGACGAAGGCCTGGCCTGGGCAGCACCCTGTACTGCTCCTGTGCCCTGCCCGAGGCACCCAGCTTCCATCGTCACTGGTTCTCCTTTGGGCTCTGCCTGGGGCCGCCTGCCCATGGCTCCAGACTCTCTTTGGGTGGAGACATGGTCTGACTGGTTGGTTCTATCCTTCCTGGTCCTGTGCTCTTTGCCAGGTACAGTGCTGAGATGGGAAGGTAGGCAAGCAGTCGGTACAAGCGAAAGGTGTGCCGGCTTCTGTTCGGCACAGAACTGAGCTCCTCTGCCCCCAGGAACACCCTCTAGGGCCCCGCCCACCGCCCTCAGGCTGGCAGTAGATTCCAGAATGCAACATAATGAGCAATTGTTCCTAGGCCAGCTCCCCGCCCTTTGCCAAGTGTATTCGCATCTAAGATATAATTGCCACCACATCTTTAATCCACAACAAGCTTTAATTAAGATAGAGTTTAAGTAGGGGCTGCATTCTGAAGAAAAAAAAATCCCATTATATATCATACATTAAAAAATATACAAAAAAAACCATAAGAAATTGACATTTCTATAAGATTTATTTCAGGCTTCTGTGTGTACTAGCTCTCTTAAAGGGCCATGGAGCTTTCTGGAAAACTCAGAGGATGCCATCCTCTTGCACACAGCAGGTGCCTAGCAGGGCCCACCTTTGTCTATCACGGCGACAAGTACCATTTACATCTTCCATTTCCTGACTCTCTCCTTCCTGTGACTGTTGGAGTCACTGGACCCCCATCTTTGGAGTGTCCTTGATGGACATCAGCTAAAGATGGCTAGAAAGGTTTTCCACCCACCTTCAGGGCTCCACGCACTTGAGAGGCAGAAGCTGGTCTTTGTCAGCAGTGAGGGAAGGATTGTCCTTGGCCAGGCAGCTGCAGTGACTCACTCTTCAGTGTGAATGAAAACCTCCCAGGCAGCTGCCAGGAGCTCATGTGGAGAGATGGGGCTTTTGATAAACCTGGGACCCAGCCAAGAAGGCTGGCCTGGATGGGAACCAAAAGCTTGGGAATAGCTCCTGCCGGATGCTGTTGTTCAGGTAGTGAGGAAACCATGAAGGAGTGAGGAGAGGTGTTTGGAGGCCAGCTCCCTACTGCCTGAGTATGCGCCCCTTCTCCTGCTGCACACACACACACACACACACACACACACACACACACACACACACACATATGCACGCACGCACACGCACACACACACTCTTCCTGTGGAGCCGGTTAGTTATATTAGCAGAGGCTTCCAGGACGTGAGCTGAGCCCTTCTCCAGGTTCTGTTCCCAGCACTTTCCATCCTCACACTTCTGCTACATAGAGAGAGGGTGCTCCCCATTGCAGAGATGAGCTCAAGGTCTCCAGCACAGCTCATGGAGCTGAGACCCAGGGACCAGCCTCCCTGCTTCACCACCCTGCCCGCCTGGCCTTTCTGCCTCTCCCGTTCTAAAGCGGCTCGCCGTCATTCATTGCTGGATTCTGTGAATAGAATCCGGTGGTGGAGTCTGTGAGAAGCCTGGCCACGGCCTAGTGGTTGTTGTGGGAAAAGGATGTTCATTCTTTACAACTGACACCAGGGTCTTTTCACCATGATGGCCACGCTGCGCCAATCTTCAAGGCCAAGGAAGCAGAATGTGTGGTTAGTGATTTGCTGCCCAAGGTCACAAAAATGCAGGGAATTTGAAGCTGGAGGCCCACTGTTGGAGCCAAGAGTTCCCTGGAGATGGTCCTAGGACCTGCAGTAGGCGAAAGGGGCAGAAGCAAGGTCAGGGTTATCTCCAAGACAAACAGCCTTGGTCTCAACCTGGCTCCTTGGAAGAGCTGTGTGAACCAAGGTCTTAGCCATGTCCCTTTGAAGGTGGGGAGGCTGTCCCCGCTACCTGCCCTGGAGGTTGCCTCAGGACTATTAACTCTCCGCATCTTCATTCTACCTTTTCTTGTGCTGAACGATCCCTGTGACAGCGGAGAAAGTCCCAGGCTGAGCGCTGTCCCCTCAAGTGATCTTGGGCTCAAAGGACACAGGATAGACATCTAAAGCATGTGATGCTTCAGGTCTGACTGGCTGGTCCTGGGCTTTGTAGCTCATGGGTGGTGGCTCCTTACTCTCATACCTCCCCAAAGCACCTTCAGCATCCCTACAGCATCCCTACAGTCCTTGGCCATACCTGTTTCTTGTGCAGATAGATGCCCGAGGCCCCAGTCTGCTCCAGCAACATGCACACGTACCAACATCCAGGGGCTTGGCTATGCACATCTGGAGTCCTGAGTATGATGTCAGGTGTGCATCATCCCAGCTGCTGGGAGGGGAAGTGAGCTCTCGGAGCTTCCTCCCTGTGCTAGTCAGCTCCGTGCATGTAGTAATTCATCTGGTGAGGAGTAATCTCCCAGGGGCTGTAGCTGCTAACCAAGTCCATCTTGTGTGGTTTCCCAGGCTGCATAGATCCATGTAGAGCAGACAGGTGTGGTCCCCAAGTAGGTGTGGTGCAGAGAGCTGCAAGACAGGTGAGAGCCAAAAGGAGGAGGCAAGTACAAAGGCTGGAGAGGCCTGCTCAGAGCCAGGAGAAGGCAGGGTAGAGATGTCCCTTAGGCCTGAGGTGATGATCTTAAAGATGACAGGAGGTGCCGGGCGGTGGTGGCACACGCATTTAATCCCAGTGCTTGGGAGGCAGAGGCAGGTGGATCTCTGTGAGATCGAGGCCAGCCTGGGCTACAGAGTCAGTTCCAGGATAGGCACCAAAAGCTACACAGAGAAATCCTGTCTCAAAAAAACAAACAAACAAACAAACAAAAAGATGACAGGAGGCAAGTCTAAAGCCCACAGAGAGATGAAGCAAGTCACCTGTTTTGTTATCTGGTCTTCTCCCCTACCCACCCACCGCCCTTCATCCCCTGCCTCCCTCTCAGCCTGTGCCTACAGTGAGGATGTGGCAACAACAGGGCTCTTGTGAGCAACAACATGACCTACTAAGTACTTCCCCCTCCAGCAGGCTTGGGAGCCTTACGTACTGGGGTGCAGAAGCAGCGAGCTGGCTTTGGACTTTCCCTACCTTGGATTATGGAGGCAGGCAGGGCTGTGCCATGTGCCCTGTGGGGTAGGCAGTGGCTGCAGCCTCTGGTTTGTAGTGTGATGCTGAGGGAACTCAGCCCTCTCGGTCCCATGCTCTCCCTCTATAATGCATAGGTGCAGCGTATATCTAGAGGACCAGATGTATGCTGGTGTGCTGGACTCTTTCTCAGCAGGTCCTGGAGTACCCAAAGCCTCCCTGGGACAGACTTCCAATGAGGAGGGGAGCCAAGCTGCTGGGGGTAGTCAGTTTCTGTCTGCCCATGTCTCCTTAATCCCCGCAGCAGCATATGCAGGGGCTAGGAGAACGGAGCTTCTGAAGCCAGTGCAGCTGTCTATGGCTTGACAAATCAGTCTATTGTACCTGGGCATCTCTAAAGCACGGCTGGCTGGTGGGGCCTGCCTGCAAAAGAGGCTGCAGCTTGAGGAATAGCTGTGTAGCGTTTGGGACTGCATCCGGAATGGTGTGAACACTAGAGCTTCATTGTTGAGCTCTAGGCACGCATAGGCCTCCCCAGGCCTGGCCTGTCAAAGCGTGAGGAGACTGAAATGCTGACATTGTGGGAATCAAGGCAAGATCTTCTCGCATGGTGGCTGCCTTGATACCTACCACCGCTTTCCAGGCTCAGTCCCTCTCCAGGCCTGGCACCCACTCCAATGAGGCTCCTGAGGAGAAGCAGATGGAATGCAAGTGTCCGTGGCACTGAACCACCAATGGTAGGGGTGTGGGAAGACAAGACTTCTTAGGGGAAAGCTTCTTCAGGGAGCTAGCCTCACCTGTACCACTCCAGCATGCTCAAAATCCAGCCACGTGGGCCACCTTAAGAACATTCCAGGCCGGGTGGGAGTGCCCTGCAAGAGAGATGCTGAGGGAAACAGGATTTTCCTATGTGAGCTTTCAGGTGCTTCTGCCTTGTGGAGCTTGTCTTGACTCCCACAAGCACCATTACACTGCACCGTCAGGGGCTGGCTCCTCCACCCAAGACCCCTCTCTCCTGGTCTGGTCTCTGCCAGGAAGCTTCCCGCTTTCACAACTGACATTGCCACCGGATCTCAGGTTATTTCAGTGCCATTTCTCCAGGATTTCTGAGCGAGTCCCTAAGAAAAAGGCAGTCCCTCCCCATCTGCAACTGGTACGTAGATCTCCGTGAGCAGGTGCTGTGTCTGCTTGTCCACATGCCCTCTCACTGGTGCCCAGCACAGAGGCTGGCATGGTAAGGTGATTGGTTGGGTGCAAGAATGGTTAAATACCACCAAGAGCCAGGTTGGACAAAGTCTGGGTACAGCGGCCCGTTGAGGAGCTCTATGCCTTGCTTTAGTGTGCGGGGTAGAGTTTAAGGTGGAGTACTGAAGAGTTCAGTGTGGGCTGGAATGACCAGGGGGCTCCCTGGAGAGAGAGGAAGGTGTCTGGAGTGATGTAGACACCGTGAAGGAGGAGGCTGAGAAACAAGTTCAGAAGGAAATAGTAGCTTTCTGGGGGTACAACCCCAGGTGGTAGCCTGTTAGTCAAAGCAAAGGGCCGCTTCTCTATGCCCTCCCTATTAACCACCTTTCGTGCCCTGCTCACCCCAGAGAACAGGGGCCTGTAGCCAAGGGGTACTCAGTGACCACTGGGTGCGTGGGAGGGTGGGTGGGTGGGTGAATGGATGGATGGATGGATGGATGGATGGATGGATGGATGGATGGATGGATGGATGGATGGGCAAAAACAAAGAGTGGACAATGGAATGAAGCACTTTTTGGTAGATGGACAAATGTTTGGTAGGTTAATGGATAGATGAAATACTGGATAGACCATTGAATGAACTAACTAGTGAATTAGACAATATTTAATGCAAGAAAATGATATAGAAATTTGAATATCTTTTTTATTCCAACAGTCTCTACTCTCAGAGAAGTCAGAAAGAATTGGAAAAAGATCAAGGACTTTGTGTTACCTTAGGCTAGGTGAGCCTTTAGAGAAACAGGTGGCAGGCGATGGGCAGCCTCCTGGAAGGCTTCCCCTCCAGCCGTCTGTGGGCTCACGTGGCTGTATACTAGATAAGCGTGTGAGAGAGCTGTGAGCTGCAGAGAGGTGAGAGTCTGAGTCCTCCTGTCCCTCTACGTTCCAGCTTGGGAGATAGTCAGGGGCTA